TTTTTATATCAGTGAGACAATTTTTAAAGTATGGGCAAGTACCTAAATATCAACACTTAACACCTTCGTGTGTTTGTTGGTGCTCTTATCCCTTTGTGAAATCCTCTTGTCACAGTCATTCCAATAATTTCTTTGCAGTCCAACCTGCAAGTCATGTTTTCCTTGCTCTTTTCTGTAACAGTTTCCTCCGTACCAGCCAGCACCAGTTCTTTCCTTATCTGCATTCCCAAGGCACTTTATATCTACTGTAATTGTGTAAAGTAGCCACTAAATTGCATTTTAAGAATTTAATGTGTCCATATGTTCAGAAAGGCTGTGGGTTCTTTGAAGCAGTGATGCTGTCTTGGTTATGGGCGTCTCAGAAGCAGATGTGCAGGCAGGCTAGATACACAAAAGGCTCATTAGGGGAAATGGCTGTGAGACCTAAAGCCGTGGAAGGCAGGACTAGACAGTGAGATGCAGTCAGACACCCATGAAGCAGGAGCAGGAAGAACGAGCCAGGAAGAGCTGCAGACTGCAGCTGAGCGCCAGAAATGTCTCCGCCTTTCTTCCCTTCCCTTCTCTTCCTCCCTTTCTTCCCTCCCTGCTTTTTTCTTTTTCTTTTTCAGAAAGAAAAATTAAATGAGCTAGTTTCTTAGTTTTCAAAGTAACCTCTTTGGAAGAATAAATATTCTTATTTGGTGAATAAAGTATGAAAAGCATAGTATGCCTGTTCTTTGTTCTCTGCCTTCTCCTCATTCTCTCTCCTTCTAGAACAGTTTGATTCTCCAGCTACCAGTTGGCGCTGCACAGGTACCAGAGTCAGGTGGGGGTCTGGGCAGTCCAGAGAAAGGTGTCAACACTCAGGAAGGTGAGAAAGGACACACATCCTGAAGTAGAAAATCAGAGCTAGCCCAGAGTCAGGAGTCCACTGTGCGTGGGGTGAAGTACGCAGGTTTATATATGCACTTTTTATTACTTAAATTAATACACAAAAAATCATTTATATGATTAAAACCTATAATACACTCATGTACAAATACCTATTTGAACATTGGTTTCTTGATCTTTTTGTTTTTATTTTTTAAATAATGTAAACTGGTGAAAGAGAAACACATTAGAAACATGGCAAAATTTCATTAAACAAAGTAATAGGAATTTGACAATGGTCCCTGTATTGCATAATGTTATCTTCACATTAGTTGTTTAGGTTGCCAGATATAAGCCTGTAAAATCGGTAAGAAAAAAGTTCTAAGAAATTAAAAAGAAACAACTTAATTAATTTAAAAAATGTAAGCTTAAATGGCTCCTTTCAATAAACCAGCGGAAGTCTCGATTTTTGAGCACCAGCACAGCACTGCCTGTTGGTCATGGCACACTAGTCACCTCTTACTCTGAATAAAATGGGATTTTGAACAGGGTAGGGCTTGGACTCAGGGCCTGCACTGAGCTACATCCCCAGCCCTTTATTTATTTTTTATTTTGCCACCAGATCTAAGTTACTAAATTGTCCAGTCTAGGCTCAAATTACAATCTTCCTGCCTCAGCCTCACTGACTGCTGGACTTTGAGGTGGCCCCACCATATCCAGCTGTGACTGACGTTCTTAAAGCGTCACTCAGCTGTTGAATAGAGACTTTATGAATCAGAAATAAGGGCTTCTAGGAGGAGGCAGCTGCCTTTTAGGTGAGAGGATGATGATCAGGGTGAGGTCCTCATGTGAGGCCTGGTCTAAGGAGATTCCCAGAGCATCTTTCCTAGCCCTTGGTTCTGTGTCACTTGGGTAACTCAAGCGTGGGGTATATCAGAGCACCTCATTATACATACAGTTCTCCTCTTTTCTGCACAAAATGGGAAAATTAAAAAATATGACGGGGGGGGGCAGGGAGATGGCTCAGTAGGATAAGTGTTTGACTGGCAAACGCAAGGATCTGAGTTCAAGCCCCAGTTCCACCAAAAAAAAAATATGACAGGGATCATCAGTTAGAGAATAAAATATAACCTAACCTCTGTTTCTGCTCAAGGCTGGATTAACAGACATTGTTCAGAATGAGAGCAAAAGTGAGAACTCATGTGTACCATGCCTTGACATGGGCAAGAAAGCTAATGGACCCTTTTACTTCAGTGGAGTAAAATGGAGAGAAAAAAAAAAAAAAAACCAAGCCTTTTTTTTTTCTTCTTTTTTCTTATCTCTTCCTCCCCTACTGAATATAGAACTCAAGTATTCTTTTTTTTTTCTTTCTGTATTTAGGACCAGGTGTACAGGGTCTCACTATGCAGATCAGACTCATAGTGATCCATCTGTATTCAGCCTCCCAAGTGCTGGGATTACAGGCACGTGCCACTACGCCCAGTCTCAGTCACTATCTCAGCATGCCCCTGGGGCCAGGCTAGCATGACAGGTTGGGGATTGAACCCTTGCTGCTGTGCTCTGCCTGAGCAGGTGCTTTAATCTGCTGAGCTATCAGGCCAGCTCCCTAAGTATTCTTAAGGGGCTTTTTGCTTTATGTTCTTTTTCTCATTAGATGTTTTTTTCTTGTTTTTAGATTATTTTGCACCCAGAGTTCCTGTCCTCCACCAGCCCTCTGTTGCCCATGGATTATGAAGAGTTCGTCCGGGGTTGTCATCTTGGGGTGTTCCCGTCATACTATGAACCCTGGGGCTATACTCCAGGTATGCGAAAATATCAGCTGTGAAACAGTATACTGTTTTATATGGATCGCTATATATAATTTTAAGGTTCATATGTCATGTATACTAAGGTTTTGACTTTCCAGTTTGTTTTAAAGTTATTTTGGTTGGTTCAATCTCAAGAGTCAATTTTATGATTTATAGATACTAAGAATAAGGACAGGATTGTGGAAGTGTACGACAGTGTGGTTTGCATATTTTTGTAGGTACCTGATTTATTGCTTCACTGGATTACAAAGAGAAAAGAATGTTTTAGAAAGGTTATGTTATTTTATTATCTCCACCTGACCCATCCACTAAGTATAAAAAATTAGCTACAGTAATAATATGAGAAATAATGACGTATAATGGGTCCGGGAAATAGTTCACTAACAGCATCACTCCCTTTCAAAGCTCATCCTCTCCATTGTCCTTTCTTTTTTAAGAGAAGGTAGATTCTCAGATCCACTCTTTGTTGCTCTTTCTGACCTCTGCTAGCATGGCTGCGATTAAGAGCAATGAATGTATATTAATACTGAAATGAGTAATGAAAAGAGCAACAAACACTCTAACTGCATGGCAATGTCAAAGAATAAAAATTGTCTTTCCTATAATAAAAGGTTCAGAAAACATTTTCATTTACAACTAAGAGAATAAACTTTTTCTTCTGTACCATGAAGCCATTAATGATCTGAAACTCCAGGAAGGGGCAGCAGATGCCAAAGGAAAGGAATAACGAGTTGAGTGAAGAAGTAGCCTGTTAAAGTGGAACTGTCCGATAGCCCCAGCTACAGTAGACTGGGTTGGATGGATCCCTTGATATCAGCGTGGGCTATGTAGCAAGATCCTTCTTCAAAAAAAGAAAGAAAAAAAAAAAAACTTTTTTTTTTTTTTTTTTTTTAATTTTTTTGGAACCGGGGATTGAACTCAGGCCCTTGTGCTTGCCAGGCAAGCACTTATTCTACTGAGCTATCTCCCTGGCCCCAAGAACTTTCTACTATGTGCATTCTTCTCCCAGAATTTAGGTAAAGTATTTAAAATCTTATGAAAATAGGATCCTACATTCCTGAGACGAAACCCATTTGGGATTCATAGATTGCGTCTATGTTCATTAAGGAGACTGGTCAGTAGTTTTCTTTTTATGGTTGGGTTTCACCCTGATTTAGTATCAAGGTAATATTTACCTCCAGGAATGAGTTAGGGAGAATTGCTTTTCTTTCAATTTTCTTAAAGAATTTGAGGAGTATTTGTCAGAGATGGGTATTCCATTGCCATTTAAATATTGTAGGTGTGTGAATTCAGCAAAATATTCCAATATAGTCCAGTAGTCCATAATAGTAGTGGGTTATCTGTAAGACTGGCAATGTCAGAAGTTGTTGACTTGAGCCTTTTACAGCTCAGCATATTAATATGGTTTTACTTTTTATACTTCATTTTTATACTTTCCTGTTGGATGGTTAAGGCCAAGATAAAACAAGACCTATATAACAAGAAATGTAATTTTTTATCTGACAAGGTTAATCAATTTGAGGAGAATTTGAGGAGTAAATCCTTTCTAAATTTATTGTAAAATTCAGATGAGAATCCATTAGGACCTAGGATTTTCTTTGTTGGGAAGTAATTAATTATATTTTTAATTCATTGACTGGTATTGGGTCAGTCAGAAATTTTATCTCTTCTTGATTCAGCCTTTGTAATTCATATGTATTTAGGAATCTATTCATTTCTTTTGTGGTTTCCATCTTATGTGAATAAAGATTTTTGAAGTAGGTATTGGTGATCTTTTGAACTTCTACAGTATCTGTAGTAATTTCACCCTTTTCATTCTTTACTATACAAATTTCAGTTTTTTCTTTCTTTTACTGATAAGGTTGGCTAGGGGTTTATCAATTTTATTTATTCTTTCAAAGGACCAATTCTTCAATTGTTAATTCTTCATATGGTTTTCTTAGTCTTCATTGCATTGATTTCTGCTTTGACCTTTACAATGTCCTGGGCTTTGGGCTTGAACTGCTGGGATGGGGTTGTTTTTTGGGGTTTTTTTTGCAAGAAGCTTGAGGTGCAGCATTAGGTTGCTTGTTTGAGCTGATTTTATTTTCCTTTTTTATTAATTTTATTGAGAAACAAATAGCAATGAGACAGTTTCCAAACAGGGTAGTAGGACAGTTACAATACTTACTATATTGCATATTGTTTTCATAGTAGTTATTCATAGTACAAGATGCAAACACAATATTCTGTCCAAACATTAGTACAAATCTTTCTTCTCATTGAATTAAGAGAAAGTAGCTGTATATCTATCTTAACTATTGTGTGTGTGTGTGTGAGTGTGTGTGTGTGTGTAGATAGATAGATAGATAGATAGATAGATAGATAGATAGATCTCAGTATACAATGGTCTTTCATTTGTATTCCATTGCCATTTAAATATTGTAAGTGCATGAATTCAGCAAAATAATCCAATATAGTCCTGTAGTCCATAATAGTAGTGGGCTATCCGTAGGACCAACAATGTCAGAGGTTGTTGACCTGAGACTTTTACAGCTGAGCATATTAATATGACTTTACTTTTTATACTTCATTTTTATACTTTCCTGCTGGATGGTTAAGACCAAGATAAAACAAGACCTATATAACAAGAAATGTAACTTTTTATCTGACAAACTTAATCAAATCCCCTCAGGATTTACCCTGAAACCCTGTTCCGCAGTTTGTAGATCCTTTGTCAGTGTCAGCCATGTGGGTCACTCTATTTTCCTAATGGGAGAATTCACTACTGCAAATTTCCTCTGAGGACTGTTTTCATTGCTTCCCACAGGTCATCATTTCTGGTTTTTTCTTTCTTTAAGAAAAGGTTAAAATTACAAAAAGAAAAAAATAAAAGATCCTGGAATCATCAGTCTCTATATAAACAGTAAAGATATTAAACCTTTCTAACCAAGAACTATTACTTCTTGAATCATACCTTAAAAACTGCATCTAACTACTCTGGAGTTTGAATTACTCTCTTGTAGCCCACAAACCCATTACAGGCATCCATTTTACTTTTGTTGCAGTGGTGTTTTCTTATGAAATGTTTGCATAAAGATCTTAGCTCATTTCATGGAGCTAAGAAATATTGATGAAATATTTCACCAGTGAGCTTAAAACTTTGTCATTGAAACTCCTTCCTCCTATTATTAGTAAGGAATGCAATTCATTAGAGGAGTTATCACAGATAGAGGAGAGAAGCCCCAGCATATGATAGCTGAGGAGGGGCATTCATTTCTATCGGGTGAAAAGTATGCTTTGTAACTGACAGCTGCCTTTCCTCCAAAATGCTTTTCTATAGGATAAGGTTGAATTTAATACCGAAAATTATAGGCTAGCTGTGGTTCATGTTCTGAGATAAAGACCAAAAAGAATGGCTTAAGATAGGATAATAGCCTGTAGAATACTCTATAGTTGATGAACCAGAGTTAACCAAACAGAGTTGGCCATTCTTCACCCAACCTACAGTGAAAGAAATAGTATGAGTTCTGGTGATATATGTTTAACGTTGTCATATTTGATAATTCTGATTTCTTTCTTTCTTTCTTTTTCTTTTTTCTTTTGGCCTTTTTGAGACAGGGCCTTACTATGCACTTTCCGGCTGGTCTTGAACTCACTTTGTAGCCTCCAGACTGGTATCAAAGTCACAATGATGCTCCTGCCTCAGCTTCCCAAGTGCTGGGATTACAGGCATGTGCCACCATTTCCAGCTGAGATTTGATTTTTTGAGACAGTCTCACTCTAGCTCAGGCTTGCCTCAAACTTGTGATGACCTTTCTTCTACAGCTTCTCCATTGCTGGGATTCCAGGAGTGCACCACCACACCTGGCTTCTGATTTCTTTTTAGAATAATTACATGTGATATTGAGTCTAACTAAACATTCATGAAAGTGTGCTCCATATTTTATTAAAGGCAAATTAATATAAACACTTATTTCATTAAATAAGGCTTACATGATTGCCTGGGACTTTGCTACAAAGTTTATTAGTAACAACTTAGTAAAAAAAGAAAGAGTACAGATAGAGTTAGGTATGATGGTTAACACCTGTAATCCTGACACTCTGGAAGTCTGAAGCAAGAGTTCAACCATAAACCTAGTCTGGATTAATTTGGCAATTTAGCATGATTCTGTCTCAAAATTATAAATAAGAAAAGGACTAGAGGAGTGAGTGAGACAATC